GTTAAGTTAGGGTTAGGGTTAGGGTTAGGGTTAGGGTTAGGGTTAGGGTTAGGGTTAGGGTTAGGGTTAGGTTAGGGTTAGGGTTAGGGTTAGGGGTTAGGGTTACGCTAGGGTTAAGTTAGGGTTAGGGTTAGGGTTAGGGTTAGGGTTAGGGGTTAGGGTTAGGTTAGGGTTAGGGTTAGGGTTAGGGTTAGGGTTATGTTGGGGTTAGGGTTAGTGTAGGTTTAGGATTACGCTAGGGTTAGGGTTAAGTTAGGGTTTGGGTTTGGGTTAGGGTTAGGTTAGGGTTAGGGTTAGGGTTAGGGTTAGGGTTAGGGTTAGGGTTAGGGTTAGGGTTAGGTTTATGTTGGGGTTAGGGTTAGGGTTAGATTAGGGTTAGGGTTATGTTAGGTTTAGGTTTACGTTAGGGTTAGGGCTAAGTTTAGGTGAGGGATAGGTTAGATTAGGGACATGTTAGTTTAGAGTTAGGCTTACGTCATTGTTAGGCTTAGGTTAGGGATAGGTTAGGATTAGGTTTAGGTTAAGGTTAGGGTTTGGTTAGGGTTAGTTTAGGTTTAGTGTTAAGTTAGGTTTATGGTTAGGTTTGTGTTAGGTTTAGGTTAGGGTTAGGTTAGATTAGGGACATGTTAGTTTAGAGTTAGGGTTACGTCTTTGTTAGGGTTACCTTAGAGATAGGGTTAGGGTTAGGGTTAGGGTTAGGGTTAGGGTTAGGGTTAGGGTTAGGGTTAGGGTTAGGGTTAGGGTTAGGGTTAGGGTTAGGGTTAGGGTTAAGAGCATCCCAGCCTCATCCATTGCCTCCCTTGCAGCCCATTGGCCCTGTCCTGGGTCCATGGGTCCTATCCCTTTCATGATGCCCCTTGTCTGTGCTGCAGCTCCTCAGCAGTACCGCAGTGACCGACCTGATGCTGCTGGAGCCGGTACTGGAGGCCCTGACCGGGCGCCACAGGGACCCCTGCACCCTGGTGCGGATGCTGGTGCTGCGCGGGCTCGGGAACGTGGCCATTGGCTCCCCGGAGAAGGTGAGGGCAGGACCGGCCCCATGGCCTGCAGGGACTGGGGGGGATGATGGGGGAGCAGGGGGGCACTGGGGATGCTGCTGGTCCAGGCTATGGGGCCGCTGGGGTGGGAGCACTGGGATGCGCTCAGTTGGTGATGGGAGATCCAATAGGGAGAGGAGCAGCATCGCGACCGTGCCGTTGCCATGGTACCACTGCTCCAATGGATTTCAATCATGGAGGCATGGAATGGGGTGGGAGGATGCTCAAAGCTCCTCCATTCCCAGCCTTTACCATGGGTTTCCATTGGAGCAGGATGCTCCAAGCCCCTGTGTCCAACCTGCCAGGGATGGAGCATCCCAAACTCCTCCCTTCATCCCCTTCAGCACCCTCATAGGGAAGAACCCCCCAAGATCCCATCAACTCTTCCCTCTTCCTCCTCATCCCATCCCTGCATCCCTCATCCCATCCCTGCATCCCTCATCCCAAGCCCCTGTGTCCAACCTGCCAGGGATGGAGCATCCCAAACTCCTCCCTTCATCCCCTTCCAGCACCCTCATGGGGAAGAACCCCCCAAGATCCCATCAACTCTTCCCTCTTCCTCCTCATCCCATCCCTGCATCCCTCATCCCAAGCCCCTGTGTCCAACCTGCCAGGGATGGAGCATCCCAAACTCCTCCCTTTATCCCATCCCAGTGCCCCAGCATCCTCATGGGGAAGAACTTCATCCCAATATCCCATCCAGCTCTTCCAGTTGGAGCCGTCCCTCCTCATCCCATCCTTATGTGGTCCAGAGCCCCTCTCCTGTAGCTGAATGGATCCCATAAAGCAAAGCCATCAATGGGGTTCAGGCAGGAATTGCAATCCCCACTGTCCAAAAAGCCATGGCTTTTGCAAGGCTTTTTGATGATCTTGAGGTCCTTTCCAACCCTAAGTGTTCTATGATCCTATGGGGGGAAAATCCCATGGGATTGATGCTTTTCCACTGCTTCATCCCATTGGAGAGCTGCAGCAAAGCAGCTGTGACTGGAAGGCCCATCCCATACTGATGCTTTGCTGTGATGCTCGCAGTTCAAGTCCTGGTCCAGCTCTTCCCATGTCCATGTATGGAGCAGGAGAACCCCTATGGGGTATCCCAGTCCCCTGCATCCCATAGGGGACCACTCCTTGTGCATCTCCCCTTGCAGGTGAGGAAGCACGGGGCCAAGCTGCTGGCCTCCATGGTCCATGGCATGGATGACAAGGATGATCCCCATAACCTGGTTGCACTGGAGGCCATGTCCAGTCTCTCCAAGCTCCTGGACCATGTGGAAGAGGGAGATATCCAGTCCATGCTCCTGCACATCGCCATCAGGATCCGGCCCTTCTTTGATAGCGTAAGGCTGGGCCAGGGCCACTGATGGGGCGTTGGGATGAGCTCTGCTGAGCCTGTGCTATGGGATCATGGGGTGGGGTGGGATGAAGGGGGCTTAAAGCTCCCCCAGCTCCATCCGTTTCCATTGGAGCAGGATGCTCCGAGCCCCTGTGTCCAACCTGGCAGGGATGGAGCATCCCAAACTCCTCCCTTCATCCCCTTCAGCACCCTCATGGGGAAGAACCCCCCAAGATCCCATCAACTCTTCCCTCTTCCTCCTCATCCCATCCCTGCATCCCTCATCCCATCCCTGCATCCCTCATCCCATCCCTGCATCCCTCATCCCATCCCTGCATCCCTCATCCCATCCCTGCATCCCTCATCCCATCCCTGCATCCCTCATCCCATCCCTGCATCCCTCATCCCATCCCTGCATCCCTCATCCCATCCCTGCATCCCTCATCCCATCCCTGCATCCCTCATCCCATCCCTGCATCCCTCATCCCTGCATCCCTCATCCCATCCCTGCATCCCTCATCCCACCCCTGCATCCCTCATCCCATCCCTGCATCCCTCATCCCATCCCTGCATCCCTCATCCCATCCCTGCATCCCTCATCCCATCCCTGCATCCCTCATCCCATCCCTGCATCCCTCATCCCATCCCTGCATCCCTCATCCCATCCCTGCATCCCTCATCCCATCCCTGCATCCCTCATCCCATCCCTGCATCCCTCATCCCATCCCTGCATCCCTCATCCCCTCCCTGCATCCCTCATCCCATCCCTGCATCCCTCATCCCATCCCTGCATCCCTCATCCCATCCCTGCATCCCTCATCCCATCCCTGCATCCCTCATCCATCCCTGCATCCCTCATCCCATCCCTGCATCCCTCATCCCATCCCTGCATCCCTCATCCCATTCCTGCATCCCTCATCCCATTCCTGCATCCCTCATCCCATCCCTGCATCCCTCATCCCATCCCTGCATCCCTCATCCCATCCCTGCATCCCTCATCCCATCCCTGCATCCCTCATCCCAAGCCCCTCTCCAGGCACTGGAGCTGCTCTCAGCTCTCCCCTTCAGGAGCCTTCTCTTCTCCAGGCTGCCCCATTGACAGCAGCGTTTGTGCTGCTGATGATGCAGATGGGTGCTGGGTGCTGGGTGCTGGTTGCTGGGTGCTGGGTGCTGTTATCCCTTTGCAGGAGGTGCTGGGTGCTGTGTGTTGGGTGCTGGGTGCTGGTGCTGATGCTGATGCTGGTTGCTGGGTGCGGGGTGCAGGGTCCTGATGCTGATGCTGGTTGCTGGGTGCTGTTATCCCCATGCAGGAGGTGCTGGGTGCTGGGTGCTGGTGCTGATGCTGGTTGCTGGGTGCTGTTATCCCCATACAGGAGGTGCTGGGTGCTGGGTGCTGGGTGCAGGCTGCTGGGTGCTGGGTGCTGGTTGCTGGGTGCTGTTACCCCCATACAGGAGGTGCTGGGTGCTGGGTGCTGGTTGCTGGGTGCCGTTACCCCCATACAGGAGGTGCTGGGTGCTGGGTGCTGGGTGCCGTTACCCCCATACAGGAGGTGCTGGGTGCTGGTTGCTGGGTGCCGTTACCCCCATACAGGAGGTGCTGGGTGCTGGGTGCCGTTACCCCCATACAGGAGGTGCTGGGTGCTGGGTGCCGTTACCCCCATACAGGAGGTGCTGGGTGCTGGTTGCTGGGTGCCGTTAAACACAATTATATCTAAACACAGCACACTTGGAAAATGTAAGGACACATAATTTCTTAATCATCTGCTATAAATGTCTTTATACAGGAACAAGATCTTCCTACAAAGAATTCTCCCATACTGAACTCTGCCTGTCTTGCACTTGGCAGCATTATATACTTTTAAGTTTAAAACCAGCCATACGATATGAAGCCATATCCTCAGCTGGAGTAAATCAGCTCTACTGAAGCAACAGAGTTGTGTTGATGTACACCAGCTGAGGTTCTGGCCAATTTTTCAAAATAAAAGTACTTTGAAGTGACCCAAACTACAACTTCCTAACAACCCTGTACAGCAGGCAAATGTAAATCTCATGAGTCACTGCAAGCTCTCAATCTCCCATTTCGATTGAAAATAGAGCCATCACAGAAGTGATGTATTACGTCTCAGTTTTATTGTCCTTGAGGAGGGTGCAGGTGAAGGGAAGCAAAGGGCGGCAAGGGTCTGGTGCTAGATTCTGTTTCTGAAACTGCCAAGACAACAAATCTGTAGGTGTCAGTTTACCTCCAGTTCACACTGTCTCACACAATCCACCCAAACCAGGTGAAGGTCATGTCTCTATCACTTGGCACTTCAGAGTCATTTACATTTATATGTAATTGTTTTTTTGAGACTGCATGTGTTCAGAGGAGCTGGATGGCTTGGGAATTGGTAATAGGATATCAGAGCCTGCCACCGAAAGGCCACTAGTTCAAAACCAGAGCAGTTGTTCAAGCAGCCAGAAGGTGCTAACTTTCTGATAGCTGCTCAGCGGCTTAGATTAAATGAGTTAATGATTTCAGCCTGGACATGTATCCCTATCACAAAATGGCTCTTTCCCTGCAGCTGTCAGAAAGGATACCTTTGGATATTGTCAACAGAAAGGTCAAGGACTGATGGTGTGAGCATGTAGACGGCCTCTTCCTCTCACCCCAAGCAGTTAGTTTTCCAGGAGGAGTCAGAGACACGCTGCTGGAACAGTGTGGGAAATGTCACTCAGCTGCTGCTGTTGGCAGTTGTCTTCTGGAGGTTAAAGCATGACATCAGACCTGCGGATGTTAAACCTCATGCCTTTCAGAATCATTTAAAAAGCCTGAATGAAGTGCTGTGATGACAGTAATAAATAAACATGCAGAGAGACCTGTAACAGGCTTCGAAAAAAAGCATTTGCAAAACCTATGGCTGAGTACACCTTTCTCACTAAATTTCACTGACAATGCCAGCAGGTGCCTGGTGGCAGAATTACTGATTTGTATTTATTTTTTCCCTAGCATCTACTTTACTGAGTGCTTGTGGGGTTTTTTCCTCTGGCTCTGTAGGATCCATGCTCTTCACTAAGCACCTGCTTCCCACCTCAGAAATAATAAGTGCTTTAGGTCTGTCTGCCCTGCAGAGGGATGGAGAAAGGGATAGAGGTACAATGCACCTATTCTGCTGCCAAGAACTCCAGTATCTCAGAAAGCCATAATTAGGCTGCTTGCTTTTGGCAGCACAAAGTGAAGGGTAAAACCTTCCTCTGTGCTGCAGCTGCAGCCTGAAACCAAGCCATCTTGCATGGAGTAGCACCAGCAGAAGCGCAGCAGGGCATGAAGAATGCCATTTGTCAGGGGTTTTGCTACTCTACTCAGCACAGTTCAGACTCAGCTGGGAGCATGCTAACCTCCACCTGTGTATGGACGACAATGCATACACTCACTGAGGTCATAGGCATACCTTTAAATCAGGAACCTGGGGTGGCAACACAGATATCTAGCCATGACAGCACAGAATTCAAAGCTGGGTAGCACCCAAAGTATATACCATATTACTTGTTGCAATTGTTATTACAGCCAGCTCTGAGTTACCTTTTGCTCTGGTTCTGCAGTTATTCGTGGATAAGCCAAGTATGTAAAAGCTGATGTGTATCTTTCTCTAAGGACTGGACTGAAGTGAATCAGTACTGGCAGAGGTGGGTTTTTACACTATTGAGGCAAGATCCAAGACTCAAACTCCTCAGACCTCAACAGAACTTGGGCATGAGTCAGAGATTTGTACCTGACCCTGTTTCAAGTAAACAGCCATCTCACAATTTCCTGCATGAAAAATACTCTTCCTGTGCCCACAACTGACCACCTAAGCTCTACCACATTTTGGGTCTCAGATCAAGTAAAAAGACAAAAATACCTTTCTTGTCATTGACTTGGGAAACTTCCATTTCTTCATTCTTCTGTGGTCGTTTGTACACCTGCACAGACGATCAAACACTTCAGCCATATTGAAAACACCAGAGGTTGAAACACATGTACTGTAGCAAAGCAGATGGGTACTGTTATTAAGCAAATATGGTGTCTGGAAGAAGATAGTTAGCACCTCTCCTTCTGAAAACAGAAATTAAAATGGTTTTCTCTTTATGGAGAGTCCAGATTTGCACAGAATTAACTGAAAGACACTTAATAGCGCAAAAGCAGCAACCACTGGCATGAACAGCTGGATCCCATTCTCGATGAAAGTCTCAGCATCAAAAGTACCTATTTGCTTGCGAAGTCACTTTCAGACAGCTCAGGGGCAGATATTTAAAGACTGGTTTACTTTCAATGGGATTTCCTAATCACAGTTTCCTCCAGTTTCTGAAACTGGCGGTTTTCTTCTGCAGCTGATATACAGTATTGTTTGGTCACCTGTCTGTGGTCACTACATCTTCATTGTGTAATTATCTGGGGGGCGTATCTTGCATATTGCACCTTAAGTTTCATATTGTACCTTAAATCACACATTGCACCTTAAATCATCGTATTTCTAACTTGTTTGCTGAACAGCTCTCCAGTAGGTGTCAGGGGGAGGTTTAGGGCACTTTGCATTACAGTAGTATACACAGGGTGTTGTTAAGCACTATTCAAACATGGAGAAAAATCAGTCACATCTCTTACATTTTGCATGCAAGATGGTTAGAGAAACACTGCATTGGAGACTAGACAATAGGAGAGGAAAGGAAAAGCCCAAAGGCTCCTGATAGCTACTCAGCATCCTCATTCCTGAAGGTCATCCATGCCACTGAATCTCCCTCTCTCTGGAATGTCTTGTCTTGCTGCTGTTAGCATAGTGCCTAGAAAAGCTGCAACTGGGATGTGAATAGAAATTTTTGACAAACAGAAACTCCTTTTATCTGCAGGTGTGCAAATACTTGCAGCAGCATAGTCACCTGAATTGCCCTCTCCACCACCTTACCTGGCTCCAACCCCAATGGAGCTGTGGCCACAAACAGCAAAAACAACACTCCGTATTCCTCCAGCTTACAACCTCCACTCACGAATGCAGCACATGAGCAATCACTCTGTCTCCCCTTGACT